AATGATGATAATTACTATTGTTATTGTTATCACTATTATAATTATTATTATTGTCATTATTATCATCGTTATAGTAATTACGATAATAATAACTATGAAAATAATGATAATTATAGTTGTAATTATGATAATGATAATTGAAATTTACTAATAATAATACTACTAGAAATTTTACTAATTGTTATAGTATTATTGATAATAATAATGATAATGATAATTGAAATTTACTAATGATAATACTACTAGAAATTTTACTAATTGTTATAGTATTATTGATAATAATAATGATAATGATATTGCTGATAAGAAGATGATGATAATACTAAAGATGACGATAATGATAAGAATAGTAATGATGATAATGCTAGTAATAATAATGTTAATAATAATGATGATAATAACAATCATAACAATCATGATATTAATGGTGGTAATAGCGATAATTGTAATATTAATGATAATAAAAACAAAAATAATAATAAAAATAAAAATAGTAATAGTAGTAATAATGACAATAATAATAATGATAATGATAATAGTATTAAGGATAATGTTAATGATATTGATAATAATGACAATAATGATGATAATGAAAGTAATAATAATAGAAATAATATAAATGATAATAGAAACTATGACAAGAATAATAAAAATAATAGTAGTGATAATAATAGTATTGATAATATCAATATTAATAATCACGAAAATTATAATAGTAATAATGATAATAGTAACAATAATAATATAATCAACAATCATTATTATGACAAATATAATGATAATGGTTATGATAGTAATAACAATAATAATAATGATAATAATCTTATTGAGTACGGTAACTATAACAGTAATAATGATAATGATAACAATAATGATGATGATAGTGATAAAAGTAACAATCAAAATGGTAATCATAGTGTTGATGATAATGATGTGATTAATAATGATGATATGATGAATAATGAAAAATTATAATAATAATGATAATAATGATGATAATATATATAATGGTAACAATATTTATAATAACGATAATAATGATAATAATGATAATAATATTAATGATAATAATAATAATAACAATATCGATACCAATAATGATAATGATAATAACAATAGTAATGATTATAATAATGGCAATAATAGTAGTAATAATTATAGGAATGATAATCATGATAATTTCTAATAATGATGATAGTACTTATTAGGATTATGATAAGGATAATAACAGTGATAGTTATAGTGAATAATTGTAATGATGGGGATGACAGTCATTATAATAGCATCAGTAATAATAGTATTGGGAATGATGATAATGATAACAATAAAAGTTGTGATAATGATCATGTTTATGGCAACGATGATGCTAAAGATAATGATGATTATTATAACGTGCATACCTACATACA